GGGGGGAGAGGGGGGTGAGGGTTGGCGGGGGGGGGGGGGGGGGGGGGGGGGGAAGCAAAGCAAAGCAAGGCTCCAATAGAGGCTTGTTCCCCCTGCGGAAACCCAAGTGTTCCCCACTAGCAGAAGCAGCCTCCTCACAGTCTTAATGGCAGAGGGAATACGAAGAAGTCGGTTTCTCCTGGTGCTGGATAGCCCCAGAAACAGGAGCGCTTGGAGGACATAGGCGCATACGCTGCACTGCTGCAGTTCTAAAGCCTACTGGAAATGTTTTGCATTCAAACACATGGCATTTGATGTTGACTAAAGCCCCTGGGACACTAAGCCTGTAGCTGGCCCAGCAGGCCAAGTACCAGCAGAAGGTCCTGCTTGCAGAGCCGACTCACCACGGCCACGTGCAGGGGTCTGTGGATCGGTGGGGCAGGAGGAGCGGGACTAAAATGTAGCTCCTTGGGAATTAGGGGAAGGGAGGGACAGGACTACCACCTCAAATTAAATATTGCAGTAAATGACAACTAGAACCTTTTACAGCAAAACCTTCAGTATTGAGCAGGTTTTTATTTCTTTCCTGCTAGTGAGTTGTGGATGCAATGGTCTGGACACACCCAGAGCACAAGCGTTGGGTGTCTGCTGGATGCTTCAAGGATCTTCCTTACCCCCTGCCCCCCTGTCCCCCCACCCTTCCTGCAGAGGTTCAGTTGCAACTAACCTAAGCAAGCTAACAACTCTAACACTCCCACTGCGCTCTTGTTTTGCAGATTATATGAAAGAATCTGTGTGCAGCTCCAGCACTTGTTCTCTGAACAGCAGCGAAAACCCATATGCCACCATTAAAGACCCCCCCATTTTAACATGCAAACACTCCGAGAGCAGCTACGTGGAAATGAAATCGCCTGGTCACAGGGAGTCCCCATATTCAGAAATGCCACCTTCATCAACAGCCAATAAAAACATCTATGAAGTTGGTAAGCGGGGCAGGTGGCAGAAGGTCTCTTCCAACAGTTGGTGCATTTATCGTAGATGCTGATTGGTTTTTTTTCCCTTTCCTGACACAAGTAGCATGGACTTGGCACGGTGCAGAGAGGCTGGGGGAGAAGGCCTGTGCATTAGCATGTTCAGTTTGGGGACCTGAGTTCTGGGTGGGGGCCTGTGCAATGGTGGTGGATGTGAGCGTGGTACAGCACCAAATTGCTCCTACAGCCCCAGTGGAGGAAGGCTGCAGTCCCCTCTTTATGCTCATTTTAAACTGCTGCAAAGTCCAGCTGCAAGATTTTGAAAGCACAGAAATGTTGGTCTTTTGAAGACATTATCTTCAGGGCTTTTGGAACTGCCTGCCCTTGGGTCTTGGTCTGCCCCATGTGCTCCCTCATGCACTACCAGTAAAGCTGCAAGGGGAAGAGATGGTTTGGGAAGCTGATGTTCTGTGCTTGTGACAAAATACATGAGTAGAGTAACTAGTTTTGGGAGCACTGCTAGTTACTGTAACCCATTTACCTTGCTTCCCCAGAGCCCACTGTCAGCGTGGTCCAAGACGCCCGTGGTCGGAGTGCCAGTTACCTCCAAAATCCATATGACCTGCCTAGGAACAGTCACATTCCTAGTCACTACGACCTCCTCCCCGTAAGGCACAGCCCGACGCATGGGCCATCTTGGGACAAGCAGTCTTAAAGGGATGAACTTCACTGGTGCACTGTGCTGCAAACACAGACTTTGAGGAAGCAAAAGAGAAGACAATCCTTTTCTGTGCTGCAGGATGCTGACAGGACTTCAGACTGTCTTATGCAAGGACATAACGTAACACAACATCAGCTTGGGCGAGCTGCTGCTGCATGATGTTATTTATAAAGACATTTTTATATGGGTAACAGGAACTAACAAGAACCTCCTCCACGTGTGACGCTGACTACGTCACCCCAGGAAGGTGTCTACATGCTCCAGGCAAAAACTCTCCGTGGCATGTATTCTAACCCTGGCTTTGCTGTAAAATAAAACACAAAAACATGCTAAGTAGAAGGACTTACAGATGTACATTTCTACCAACTGCATCAAGAAACCTTTTACTGTTAGGAACAAGGTGACTAGGAATACACTGGAATGTATTTCACATCTTTGTCATGGAAATAGACATTTTTCTGAATGAAAGCAGGGAAATTTGTCATTTCACTGTCTGGAAACCTCATTTACTGCCATCACCATGTGCAACCTGTGCAGATCATGCTTGGTAATTAGCACTGAGATGTTCATCTTTATATTCAGTACCAGGGTATTTGAGTAGAGGAATATTAACACAGGGACATTCTGTGCAGTTTTTAAAATGTACCGTGTCTCGGCAAATGTCCACTGATCTTTGCTAATGACTTCAGTTTCAACGAGTCTCACATCCAGCTTACCACATTTTTAACAAGCTGTAAGATACTTTGACTGGCACAGATAGGCTTTAATTTTCCTTATACAGCTTCTATTTTATTAGATAAATCTACAGATTTGTCAGGCAGTGTAAACCAATGCACCTTCATTTTCTTCCCTGGGACACTGCAGGTTTGCACAGACTAAACCTGGTTTGGTTTCCTTTCCAAAAGCTAGCTTCTCTAGACCATCTTTACAAACCATCTCATCATGATTCACTTAACAGCATGCCATTTATGACACGCTTTAATTTGATGTGCATTACCATGTAGTGCAACTTTATCCGTTGATGATTCTACCTGAAATGTCATTAAATTGAGCAGAAACTGGGTTTTCTTTTTCAGCAGCTGTTTGTGAAGTAATTATCAAGGGGTTGGCTCATGGTATAGTTTTGGACTAAGCCACCATGATTTTTTTTTTTTTTTTTTGGTAATCTTTATTGACCTAGAAAGTAGGATATTTGCTGTTAAGCAGTTCCTTGTAGATTTTGAGCATGAAATAGTATTGATTCTAAGTATGTAATTTTATTAGGCAAACATGGAAGTAGCAAGTTGATTGCCTCTTAAATATAAAAAAAAAAAATTCTGTTGCACATTCGCCAGTCTGATGGAAGTGGAAGAAAATGAAACCAGCACCAAGCAGTTGCTCAAAGCATGATCACTCGTGTAACCTGCTGGTCTAGGGGACTGGTAAGAGGAGCCTTCCAGCTCGGAGGCAGCAGCTTGATTCTGGCTCCGAGTCACACCAGGCATCGGATCACTTGGAGCACCCTGGTGGGGCCCAGTCCGTGTCCTCACAGAGGGGCTCAGCCCTTGCCTCGGGGATTGAAGCCCCTGGCACAGCGGTACCAAGCCGCCGGCAGCCTGCACAGCACCCCTGGGCACCCTGCCACAACACGCTCGCGTCAGGGCGTGGGGAGCCCCGGCACCACGCTGCTGAAGGACCCAGGACCTCACCGGGTGGTCGGGTTGGCTCTGAACCCCCCTGTGCAAACCAAGAGTTTAGCAGCAAGACAGCCAAGCTGAGCTCAGAGATCCCCCAGGTTTCCAGAGCAGCAGATTTTCGTGTTGCAGGATAATGCCTAAGTAGTTACATGAATGCTGCATGTGTGCATGGGGGCAATGACTGATCAGCAATAGTAATTTTATTTTCCAGGAAAGCCTTATTTGAGATGTAAGTAGGCAATTATTTTGTAGGGCCAGTAGGAATATATTTTATGTACACGAATAGAAAGACTTACCTCAAAAATATCAAGAGAAAGGCAGTTTGATAAGGAATAGTCTTGTTAGAGTCCTACCTTGACACCTAGCACAAGCAGTCCCAGCTGCCGGCCTGACCAATGTTTGTGTGTCACTGTAAAGTTTGCGATGAGACTCCAGAGAGCAGAGATGTGCTCAGTTTGGTTTTTTTTTTTTTCAAAGCTGGATTTTCAAACCAAATGCAATGATGTGCATAGAGCTTAACAGGAAAAAAAAAACAACAAAACCAACAAAAAAAAGTACCTTCTTGTATATTAGCATTAGCTTAAGAAATAGGCATCAAAATGGCAATACTTTTTTAAGGCAAGACAGATTTGTAATATATTTGTTCACTGTGCAAAGGTATCCTACCTTGTACAAAATAAATTTAATTTCTCTCAACGTGTATTTCTCAAATGTACTCATTTGCAGATTAAACCTTCCAGCCTGTGTTCAGGACCGAGCTCTCCAGGTGATGGGGCTGGTCACAAAGGGGCTGTCCCCCTCAACAAAAAAACCCACAGGCATCAGGCTTACAAGCCAGAAGTTGCAGGATTTCTCAGAAAACACAATGCTGTAATTCAGACTGTAATTTGGAGTTCATTCTGAGTAAGGCCTACCTTTAAAACAAAATGTAACTGGCTCTGTACATATCTTTCTCACAATTCAGCAGTTTAACCTTAGCGGGTCTGAGCAAGAGACCCCGGTGATGCACAAACCCAGCTGGAGAAGCTCCAACATACCTACAAAGAGCAATCTGGGGCGAAAGCCAACACCAGGTCTCTCTCTGATTTTCATGTGATACACTTCAGTGCATGTCGTGACAGTGCTCTGTGCCGCCAGCGGGTTGTTGTGCCTTCAGGTGGACACACTGGAGGATACAGGCCAGCGCGGTTACCCTACTGCACCCAGCAGTGAGGAGGCAGGACACACAACAGCTGTCTCAGCAGGTCTGACGGCGCTCCCAGGGAGCCTAACCAATAAATCACGAGCACAGATTTGAAGCAGAAACACCTTCAGGATTAACGACTCCCAGGCAATGCAGCGGACTGCTACATGTTGAAGCTTTTTCAGTATCTGTGCTTCGTATTTCTAAAAATCTTGTTAACTAAAGCCCAGCATGTAATCTTCTTATTTGACAAGCCACACTCAATAAGCTATTTAAGGCTGGAAATCCATCAGGTTTGAACTGATAGAATAAGTAATTCTAGCTTAATAAAAATTTCTTTAAATCAGAACAATTCCATGTCCTTCCTGCTTAAGAGCCAGAACCTCAACTCCCATCAAACACAAGAACCACTGATGCTCGCTGAACAGCTTTGTAAGTGTTAAGGTTGGGACTTTCAAATATGTAAATGATAGCAAAAGCTTTTGGCAAAAGCCAATTTTGTAGCATTATACAGAGTTCCCAGAAACTCCAAAAGCTCATTTGAGGGCCCAAAAGCAGTATCTGTTATAATCAGTTGTCTCCTGTTAGCAGAGAAGAGACACTTCAGTACAGAAGTAATGCCAATTACAGAAAAGAATGATTAATCAGCAGCTGAACGGGAACAATACCCAGTTGGGTCAGTGTTCAGACAGAATAAAGTCTTGCATTGTCTCTCCCAAAGCACTTTGTGAAGTACCTTCTTGTCCCAGGAGTGTCACCCAGCCCCGGGCCAGCCGGATCCACTGCCACAGCACCGCAGTGCTTAGTCAGGAAAAAGCAGTACGAAACCACAGACCACGAGACAAAGGCTTTAATAGGTAAGAAGTTACATCTCTGTACACACATCATCTGATTTTGCTTTAGAAGTCAATAGCTATGAAGGCTATACAAATTATTGCATGAGAATTTCATGTTCCATGTTGCAGCAGTTCATAAGTACAAAATCAGATTTTGCACAGCATTTCTGTCTAAGGCCTGTTTTATGATTATCAATTTTAAAGGTTTGGCAGGAAAAAAAAAAATTAGAGTTCTTACTTCGTCTAACAGCACCCGCAGCCATTTCACAGCTGCCCAGGACTTAAACACAGCACTGTTTGTTGCGAGGTGAAGGAAGAAGCACGTGCACACATGCATACTCTGTGTGGGGCAGGGGCAGCCTCAGACAGCGATTTGTGCTCCTGCAGGCTTCGTTGCAGTGGCATTTGCTGCAGAAGGAAGCATCTTGCATAAAACCATGCGAAATCCAAACCTGACGTGACAGCTGAGTCAAGCTGCCTGCTTACATGAATCAGAAAAGGAAGCGAAGTGAAACTCATCCTGCATTTCCAGTTGACAAATTTGGAACTTGGCTGCTGCAGTAACTTGGTTAATTCCAAAATAGGCTCCAGTCCGGCCAGAGAAAGTGCTGTGAGAACACTCCCACAGTAAGTAAGGGCCCAGTCTTACACCTCATCCTCAGACTCTCCTGCAATGCTAAAAGGCCCTAAATTGCCTTTGCCCCCAGAGCCACCAGTGCTGCCCCAGGCACTCTGTGGGCAGCTGCTGCCTGCAGCAGGTGGCCAGGAGGCTGCCAGGGACACCATGCACAACGCTCGCTGGTGCACTTCTTCAGCAGGACACCAACGTGGGATCAAAAAGCTTAAACCATTTGCAGTAGAAGGCAGTAGTTTGCTGTCCCACAGGATTTTCTTACTGGTGGCAATGCAGGGACAAAAAAATAAGAAACCAGGTTTGTAAAAGCTATTCAGAGGTTTGACTATAGCAAACCCACAGGCTTTTCAGAGCATAAAAGCTTCCTGAAGCTGCCAAACTGTCATGGCTACGAACTGCAGAAGCCCCAAAAAGCTGCAGGCCTGGTCTGAGCGAAGAAGGCAACTGCATTACACAACCCTTTCAGTTCCTTTTCTCGGGCTACTTCCATTTCAGCATCTTCTCAGAGGCTGTTCCAAGAAGCTTACTAGCTTCAAGTAAAAACCGTCAGGTCAAATCCCAGTTCTCCCAAAAAGTGCACCCAACACCATACTGAGTCGTCCCCTGTAATTCTTTATTAGAATCATGGATGAATATATTTTAAATCAATCTAAAAAAATAATGAATCAAGGTACAGTACATGCATAAAATACAAAGTAATTTACAAACAGATCAAAACAGCATCTTCAGAACTAATACTAGGAGGAGAAATGGATTAAAAAAAGTGACCGACTACAGCAATGCCTTCCGTGTGCCTTACACATCATGAGCACCGCAAGACAGAAAGGTTGGGTACAAAACGCAGCTGGTAGTGCCTACCCAGATTTGGATGTTCCAAGTGGGTCATATCAGAGTTTGAGAAACATCCCCTACAATCAATTACTTCCCTATAATTGTATAAATAACTGTAGGCATTTATACAACAAATGGTTCTTTTAAATATTGTAGAAATTCAGTGCCTATAGCCCCCAAATCTTAATATTAATGACATGTTGTTTGGGAATAGCACGTACTGAGTGATACGCAGTGAGTGCAGTGACAGAAGGCACAGTTCATGTATCCCTGAACAAGGTAATCGAACAGATGATTTGTACGGAGCGACAGACCACAGAAGGAACACATCCAGTAAGAAAACTACTCCAGATGTTTTTGTTAAAGAACATACAAAAAACCACTGGAATAATTTAAAAATGCCAGATGAAACAGAACTGAAAACTAAAACCAGGTTGTGGAAGTTATTGATTCATCAACTCAAGCATTTGACTATATATTAATATATGTGGCATGTATTAATAAATGTGATATGTAATATGTGACAACACTCTTCAAGTCTGTGCACCATGAAAGAAAAAAGGCATCGTCAAATCCTGATACCACCAGCACTGTGGAGGCCAAGTCCTGGGCAGCACAAAAACATGCTGCAAGTTCCACTGTTAGAGTCACCCTTCATCAGTCACACAGCTTGCGCTTTTGCTTTCCTCACAAGAGGCACCTCAAATGGAGTCCCACCAGCGTCTCCCCGGCCAGCCTCCCAGCAGCTCTGCCTCACTTCACAACCTCCTCTGCAGCAGGTGCCAAACCACAAAAGCTCATTCACAGGTAGCAAGAACCCTGCTGCTTGTTCACAAGAAATTCTCTTTTCTCCCCCATAATATTCTATTAAAAAAATCCTCAACTTGACAATCTGAAGATGTAGCCAAAAACATCTAACTTACATTAAAATTGCACTTCAGAGCAATGGGCGTTTCATCAAGCTTTAGATGCAGTATACAACATCTTAAGACAAGGAAAGATTATCCTGCCCAGAGACATTTTCCTAGTTAACCTGACAGTAATTGTTTTGCAAGGAGCAGAATAACATCTTCAAGTGCTCACTAAAGGTGTTTGTGCTCTGACTAGCGGGCATCATGTTGGAAAGAGATCAGTTCAGTTCCAAACAATTTACTGAACCAGGGAAAATACTGCAGCCACATAGAAGCAATCGATTTATAAACACTGAAATCAAAGTGTTTAAGACATGGAGAAATTCAGAAGGAATAAGCAGTAACTAAACACAAAAAAGTAACCACAAGAATTACAAATATATTTAAATCTTGGACCTGGGGAATATACACAGCCTTTTAGGAAAGAATGAACAATTCTATATATTCTGACAGCACTGCATCTTTGGTTTGTTTTCAGTGGTTGGAGGGACATGAATGGGAACCACATTGTTGCTTGGAGACATATCGTTTTCACGTCTGTCAGACATTTGCTTCTGGGAAACAATACGATAGATCTCTGGAAGATGAGAAAGAGCTAGTCATTACGTGTACACCAGCAAAACACCATCAGAAAATTAAATGTGGGGGAAATCAGGCATAAAAGATAAAGATTTCCCATAGTTTTGGGACTATATAGGTAATGCACAGAAGCTTTCACAAGCAGTTCAATTGTGATGCTTTCTATAGTCAGAAAATAAAATACATTTTTGCAAAAGAAATTAGTTTAACAACTGTTTTACTTCCCTTGAGATAAGAGTTAGTAAATAGGGAGAATTCACAAATTTTTTTGCTAGGAATCAGAAACTATGTGTCCCATGAATTCCTTCTGATGGTTCTTAAGGCTCCAAGGACAATAGTCACATGTTTGCTGACATATCCACAGACAACAGCAGGATTAAGAAGAACCACTCAAAATTTCTTTCTCTGGGATTTGTAAGCAACCGATGGCATGTGCTGTACATAAACTCATGGAGTAGCCACAAAAGCACTTCAGCTGCACAGAAGAAAAAGTACAGTATGTGTAGCACTTCACACCCAGAAAGGAAATAAAGGATACCAAAAATAGAACATGGGGAACTTGCTTGCAAATTTGCATTTAAAACCCATTAAAGTTAAAACAAAAAAAACCCCAACCAAACAAAAAAGGCTTGTTAAGCCTCGGTTTTAACAACAAAGTTTGAAAGTCTTTCAGAATCAAGAAGCCAACCCTGAAATGACAACATCACATCTTCTACTCTGCACACCAGAAAAGCGTGCTGGCAACAAACGCACCAGCACTGCCAAGCAGCAGAGCCCCCAAGAGAAGGGAGCCGATGCCCACACCCAATTTGCACGCTCCAGCTCGCTGCCTTGCCATAAGATTTCGGATAAGCCCAGGCTGCAGAAGACGAGGGTGCCTGCACTTCACTCCTCCTGCAGAGCAAAGCAGGGAAGAGCAAAGCTGGTAAATAACTCTGGCAAAACAAAGCAAAGGTCCAAGTTCTTTTGGAGGTCTTAAGTCTCTTATCAGCTGGATAATGACTGTCCAAACACACACCTCGCCCAACCCCAAACCAAGAAACGTCTTTTCCACCAGAAATTTGTCATTAGTGAGTAGCTTTTGTTCAGAATTTTAATGAGCTGTTGCTTAGTGCACATCCTGACATCATTTCAGTCCTGGAAATTGAGCAACCTTGTGCAGAGGGGTCCTCTTTGCTGCCAGGGGCTGATCACACAGCTAAGCGCCTGCTTTTACGACAATGGGAAGAGATGGCATTGAGGAGCTAAAAAGGGCCCCTGACAAACAAGGCTTGAAAACCTTGCCCTTGACGCAACAAGCCTGCACTGATTTAAGCTGCCAACACAGAGGGCAAGTGCTCCCCAGGAAGAGTAAGAGCAGGGCTGCATGCATCCATGGGACTGCTGGCAAAATAAAAATCTCTCGCATAGATACTGTGCTGTATCTATGGACTGTAGAAGTAACATTAACCTTTGCAAGTGGTGCTTTCAAAGAATCTGCCTGTTGCGCCTCCAAACTGACAGCTCAGACTAGATAAACTGTTCAGAAAAAATGGATTTTACATACACATTCAGTTACAGATCAAGTCGCTCAGGCAACCAAACAAGCTGCACACATAAAAGGATTTTCTGATTTCACCCTTTCTTGCGTTCACCCTTCTTTCCAACAGTCTTACACAAACAACTTCAGAAGTTCAGTGAATCCCATGAAATCAGATCTTGAAAGCCACCTGCAACCCCACATGGGAATTAGGAGATAAAAATCAGCGTCGCCCTGTGGCAGGCCACTCAGTGATGTTCAGAAGAGTGCCTGTGTGCTGAGGTGGGAGGAGCACACCTGGAAGAGCTCTGCATTCTTCAGGACAACTTTTCCACTCTACTACCCTGCCCCAGCTCAGGGTAGACAGCCAGTTTACCTCCAAGTGCAGAATGCTGCCTGTTCCCATTCAACAGGGGAAAGCTCTTGCCACCTTCCTTACTGGAAACTCTCCAGTAGCACCTCCAGCAGCAGCAGTTCTCAGTTTTCCAGAGAACTTCCTGAACAAATTCATACTAGGATCCTAACACAAGCTGTCACACACTTCCTCCAGCCCTGTACATGAGGGCTCACAACAGGGTGCTCTCTGTATAACACCATCATCTTCCAGCAAAGATCTTCAGTAAACAGCCCTTAAGCCTTAAAACCAATCTTAACACCACTGATTTCTCTGTTGGTAAAGGGTCTATGCCTTCGGACTCATGAGAACGTATTTCTATGATCCCCACTTCCACGGCCTCCCCAGCAGTCACACAAGAACACTTAGCAGCTGTGCTGCTTGAATCAACTTGCAGCAGGCTCAAGTTTGTTGCTCACTGCTGCTTCTCCCTCCTCTGCAGTGCAAACCTTTGTGCAGCCACAGCGTACTGCCCTAGATGAAAGCCTAAATGGCTAAAAACTGCCTTTGCCCTGGATCAGCTGCACACTCTTTCACCACACACAGCTGTGCTGGTGTGAAAGGGGAGGTAGGAACAGCTTAAACCTGGTCTCACTGGGGCAAAATGCCCAGCAGCAAAGCCTACATTGAAACCAGTCTGCATGGAGGAATGCCAGGCTAATGAAGACATGCGCTTTTTAACGAAGAAACTACACTTTATGCTCTGTACAGTAACTGAATGAGACCTTATTAAGAGCACATTCAGCAGAATGCATCGCTGCATAATTGGTAACTGCATGAGACAGGCCTTGCACTGAAAGAGGGTTGGGAAAAAGTGACATTGCTGCTTAGGAGGAGCTTGTCCAGTCCTTGTCTGCTCAGCCTGCACTAGCATTTCATTCATTTTCAGGTGTACAGAGCTAAGAAAAAAGGAAATCCCTAGATTTTTTTATGTTAATGCTTGGCGATGTTGTTTCCTTGGAGATGGGATTTCTTGGAGATGAAACCGCAGCAGAATGCGGTACGGAAACACAGACAGCACAAAGCCAGGCAGGGAATGGAGGCAGACTCCAGTTTACTTTAAGGATGCTTTATCCTGCTGTGAATGCTCAGAGTGGCTAGGATTATAATACCAGTCTCTCCTATTTGCCAGATGATACAAAGCAGCTTTGTGTGCACAACAATCAGCCCTTGAAGTCTAGACATCATGCAACAGAAGAATTTGGATGGTGACCATTACTCTAAGCCACAGAAGGAAAGAGTCCCCAAAACCTCATCTGGAACCCACAGCAGGACAGGAAGCCCACTAGATGTAAGATATACCCCTATCTAAAAGTCCTCTATAATACAGGGAGAGGAAAGAACAGCTTTCTCCCCCTTCTTCTACCTGTAACAACAGCAGATCACTTAGGCTGTGCTAACTATAATGGATTCCTATTTCCCATGCCCAAAGCCATCTATTCAAAGTGGATTAATATGAGAATCTAGGTGTGGATAAGCTTAACAGCGACCCTAGTACACCTCCAAGGGAAGTACTCTTAGAAGTCTCCAACACTGTCCAAACCAGACCAGCTTCAGTAGGGCTGGAGAAGAAAGGAGTTTTGCTACAGACCTTAGTCACAACACCCTGTTCAGGAGAGATCTAAACAGCTGTATGAAAGGCATCAGGAGCAGCCTGGGATGTCTCTGCAGTGCAGTTCCCAGCACTGCAAATACTAGCAGAGCTGGTACAGCAGCATGCCCTGCCCCTTCTGCTGTCAGCCACCTCCACTCACAGCCTGTGGCAAAGCCTCTTGGCTTTACCTACTTCCTTCTTCAAAGGACAGTGAGCATTCCACCCGCAGGCACTATGCTTGGAGGCAGCCTTGCCAAATACAGACTATCCATGATTCTGCAGGGTCACTCTGAAAACAACATTCCTCAGATGACTGCTCCCCTCTTTCCTTCAAAGCAAATCATTAACAGAAAAAGCCAGCTGTGAAGTGTTATCGAGAAGTTTATTGGCAGAACATTCGTCCTTAGCATGCCAGTCACAGCTGAGATGGAGCCAACCTGCTGCTAATGCATTATTTACTTCATCTTTATCTCCCTGAAACAGGAGCTCCTGTCTGGAGCGAGCCACATGCCCACTAATCAGCAGAAGTGTTTCTTCCAGCACAGTTGAACCAAGCCCTCCTGAACAAGGATCCTGTCTGCATACCCAAGAGCTCTTTATCCAAAACACTGTCAGAGCAACATACAGGGAACATTGACATTTGTGGAAAAGCAGCAGCCTCAACAATCTGTCAGAGTCCACCGAGGGCAAGTTTTAATCATTTGTTATCCCATTACAGACTGCTCTCCCTTACAGAAAAATTAAACCAGAAAAAAAAAGTTAAACCTCCACAAATTAGAATCCAAAATACTTCTGGAATAAAAGGTACTGTTGGAAGCATGTGAGGAGAGATAAAGAAACAGCCTAGCCTATGCCCAAGAGGTGAACTGCTTCCCCATGGCAACAGCAGTATATCATCTGAGCGTCACATAGCTCTGTCGAAGTAAGGAAGCAGCCCAGAGCATGCAGGAAACTTTCCACCTCTTCAGCTGGCACTGTTAGAGAACAGAATGGTCCAACAGGATACGGGGGCAATTAGGTGACCAGTTTGTATTGGCTATGACAGCCTGACAGCCACCTTGGGTGGGGATAAATAATGTCTGATATATTTCCAGTTCTGTTTTATTACTGCTGGTGCCAAACAAGTATGAAAGTTAATTAACTAACCTTCATCCAAGAGCCCCGATCCTCACTGAAAACTGAAAGAGCAAGCAGCAAGGCTGTTTGTTCCATATTACACACAGCACATGTGGCCAAAATCTGACCTCAAAGTTCAGTCTAGGTGCTCCTCAGAGGAGAGGGGCTACCAAGGACACATGCATAAATGAAGAAGTTTCAGGTTTTAGCAGTTACAAGTAAGCAATAAAAAAACCTGTCTTCCTCCTGAAAAATCTACGCCCAAATTCACAAGCATTTTTGACAGGACTGCCTTTAGGTAGATGAAGAAAATGGGAAATCCAGCAGGCATCCCAGATACCACTGCATTCAGCCACTCCTTAGCCATCCACCCTCTGATGGCATTAGTAGTTAGTCATGTAGGGAGTAAAGGTATAAGCTAACATAACTTTTTTTTTTTAAAGTTTGTGCAATGTTGAATTACAACCAAATGACTACACTGAAGTTAAAAGGGAACCACATGGTTCAGCTAAACAGGAAATGAACTCAAGTTCTAGTTCCAGCATTGTATGAAGCAGCAAGATGACAAGCACCCCTGTGCACTGTTTATTCATCTAAGATGAACACACTTACTTTTTCACTAGTATATGGACAGGAGCACTACTGCTTAGGAACACACTGTAAAAAACACAATAGAACCAGAACCTATCGGAGACCTCTTGCAACTAAGGATAAGGCAGGAAACAGATGGATACAGGCAGCTAATAATCCAGCAGCCTAACAACTCTCTCCACTGCTAGGGTGTTCATAAAGCATTTCAAACAACTCAAGAAATAATACAGAATTTATACTTTTATTACATTTATTAAATAACTTCCTAGCTGCCTCCTCACCCGCGTGTCCCAGTATGGTTAACAAGTCCTTTTTGGTGTTTTTAAAAGAATGTCTAAATTAGCTGGCAAAGAGAAAAAAAATTCAAAACTAATTAGGTGCCAACGTCACAGCAATGAAATCTGATTAACAGAGACACATAGTTTAGAAACAGGGCCACTGCTCATACCAAGTGTATCACGTAGCCTGGAACATGCTACACTGGGAAGGAGGGAATTTAAATTTGTAACTGGGAAACACGTTGGATCCACTCGAACAAAACAGAGAGACTGCCTGATGCACCTAGAACAGAGACATACCAAAACAGAGGAGTCCCTCAGATGTTTTGAGGGCCCAGACTAGAGATTTAGAGAGGCATCTGCCAAAGCTGGGAATGGCAAAAGCTCAAAAACCACACATGCCACTGGTGTCCCACTATGCCCTGGCTACAGCTGATGGGGTACGCAGAAATACAGAAGTCCCATGACAGCTAGTGATTTCCACACCGATTTGTGAATTCCTACCTTATTCGTTATAAGCCAGGATTAAGTTAAGGTCCCCCAGGTAGCTGGAGTTGAAAGTCTCAGAGTCTTAACAAGTTTTGCCTATCTAAAAAAGGGTTTAAACAAAAAGGAAGTACTTTATCCACAGAGCATAAAAAACACAGCACTTGCTGCCTTCATATGTTACAGAGGCCAAAAGTCCAGCCAGGACTATTAAATGCAGTGACAATGACCACCCCACAGCTCAGGAGGCACCATGTCTCAGACTACCAGTAGCAGTATTGTTCAAAGGAAGAATCTCTACCCATTCATCCCTTTTCCCTTGGCAACTATGGTCACCATTAAAGATGGAAACAAACGAGATTGACTTCTCTGATAAACTGTTTTAACTTGATGCTTGCATGAGACAATTCTCTCCCGTGGGCACTCCCTATACAAATGGGAAACTGAAACATAAACTCAGCTGACTAGAAACCTGGGGCAGATCAAAGTGAACAAGGATTCATTCCTGAGTTCAAAGCTGGCCTTTCAACTGTGACACTTCGAAACCGGACTCCAAATCCTACAGCTGTGAAGAATGATTACAAATAGCAAAGTTTTAAACACTTTATAGGCAAAGAAACGCCCATTTGCATCGTATCTGAGCAGCCTTCTGCCCTTCCCCCTTGAAACACAAAGCACTAGATGACTCACCTGTCAGAATAGTCTGGAAAGCTGCTTCCACATTTGTAGAGTCTAAAGCAGATGTCTCGATAAATGACAAACCATTCTTTTCTGTGTGGACAGAAATACTATAATTAGAGGGGTACATCACATATCTGTTTTCAATCTGGAAGAACTGCTGTACTAGATTATATTTGTAGTGTTCCTGACAAGATGCACAGGTATCAAGTATAAAAAGTTGGGAGGTTTTCCCCCTTACGTGATCTGAAAGCAACACCACCCCACACCAGCATTAGAATTTACACTCAACCCCAAGCACAGGGATCAGTCCGGTGCTGTGTTACTTTGAGGCACATCCTCCTTCATCACTGAAAGTGAAAAGTTGCTGCACTTTAAAGAATTGTGTGAGGAAGCTTCCTGGATTTTCTTTAACCTCATCAAGTTTCTTCACCTCCCACCTGCTAGTATGTCAGAGCAGCTTATTTAACAGGGGGAGTGACAGTCCTCCACCTGCAAGCAGGGATCCTCACTGTCCATAAACTCTGCAAATGCAGCTACAGCAAGCCTTTATGTAAGAAACCCAGCTACACTCCTGGATTAAAGAAATTTGGCCTAAAACAAGGCAAGATTTACAGAAAGTAGAATTATCTTACACAGATCTTAATTATGTAACAAGAGTCAGAAAGCCAGTTTAATGAAAGTCTGTTCAGCCATGGGCATCTGTATAGGGCTCCGGATCAGTTGGTACAAAGAAGGCAATATACAGGTGCAAAGCTACCACCACACAAGAAATGCAAACCCAAAGCCATAGGCACAATTTTTGCCTATGCATTGTTGCTTCTGCAGGAGAATAAATCTAGTTTAAAATCTGCAAGTCCCTCTGGCTGATTCTTGAAACTACACCCGCATACATGTTCTACAAGGCTTCCTTTTTGACTGAATTAAAAAGAGGCAAACACCAGTATGTGACATTGAAGAATATCACCAGCATCACTCTTTTTCCTTCTACCAGCACACTCATGCATCTAAGACCAGGTAGGCAGATCCCCACACAGTTAGCATTAGGAAATTATTTTGAGTTCACCAACCTGCAAAAGCTCTGGCCTCATCTGTAGGGACTGCTCTCAGGTGGCGCAAGTCACTCTTGTTTCCCACAAGCATGATTACAATATTGCTGTCAGCATGGTCTCTCAGCTCTTTCAACCATCGCTCTACATTCTCATAAGTAAGGTGCTTAGCAATGTCATACACCAATAATGCCCCTACAGCTCCACGATAGTACCTGTGGGTGAAGAGACACGTTAGAGAACCAGCAAGAAACATTGCAATTAAAAGTGACAAGTTACTGTGTAATAATGGGAAATAGCTATTGCTAAGACAGCTATACAAAAATACATCCAGAAGCAGGCTACATGGTACTTGAAACAGTGAAGTAGAGCATCCAGACTAGGGTTATGCCACAGGACCACCAAAGCAGCCAGGATAGCTCAGAGTCTAGGGGGTAAGCCAAACCCCATGTTTGTGGGGAGAACCTTGCATCCCAAAAAATGAAACTCTGGAATCTGTGGGGAGCTACTGTCACCTTCAACCTCTGATCCACTCCTGAAAAGCCTCCCCCACCCATCACTGTGGGTGCAGTATGGGCACAGCCCATAGTGATAGAGAGACTTCAGAATGACTCACTGGATCATAAAAATGTCAACCTGATCTATTCCCTTTACAAAAGGCCACAGCTGGTCTCCTTTCAGACCAGAGAGAGGCACAGTAAATGCATTCAAAAAGAAACAGGCTGTGTTCTCCCACCCCAAAATTACCTCCAGCTTTACTTAAATCCAGCTTTTGCTATACTGTTTTTTTCCAATTAAATAAGCACACAAAGTGAGTAGTCTTTCCTTGCTGCTACAGGAGGGTTTCTGGTCTTAGGTTACCACTGATAAAACCTCCATGAACACTGATATTACTTTATCAATCACTTGCATTGAAATGAGTCTCTCAAAGCTCTTGCATTCTAGGCTTGAAATGCCTCCAGTTACGTATCATGAGAGCAATGAGAAGTAAATCAGTTTGTGCAGGGACACACTATATCAAGTTTCTGGGCTGAATAATATTTAAGCTTCCTTGCACCACAGGTTGTGGATATTACACAATAAAATACAAACAACCCCTGTTCGCAGTTTCTGAGGAATCAGAAGGGCCCAAAACTACCCTCCTCAGCAAAAGCTTCTCTTCAGCCATACAAGCTATCACTTACGCTGATGTTATAGCTCGGTATCGCTCCTGCCCTGCTGTGTCCCATATCTGAGCCTTTATTGTCTTCCCATCAACTTGAATGCTTCTTGTTGCAAACTCCACTCCAATGGTGCTTTTGCTTTCCAAGTTAAACTCATTGCGAGTGAATCGAGACAGAAGGTTACTCTTGCCTACTCCAGAGTCCCCAATAAGTACAACTACAAGACAAAAATGACATAAGAATCAGATTCCAGATGTAGATAATGCATTGACAATCACCTGCAACAAACATTTCTTTTCCGGAATGAAGCATGAAGGAATGAATGGCAAAACCACCACCCCAGAGCTGCCATATTCACCAGCATTTTGAACAGACCTTAGACTTGACTTTTACTTGTTACATGTCAGTCTCCTTTGCCCAACATGGAAGAACATTCCTCCTCCAGGAGGAATAAACATGGCTGTCACCACAAAAGTTGGGGACGGTTTGGATTTCACATCCTTGTAACAACACTAGAACTAAAAAAAAAAAAAAAAAAAGAACAAAAACCCCACACCACACAACTGAAATCTCTTTTGCCAAAGAAGTCCAGAACACAGGGCTGGCAGATGACTCTGCCTGCGTTTTACACTCTTCATACCTTTACAGAAGAGGCTCCCCACTGGGGCAGAAAAATTTGTGAATGGAAAAAAGAACCACCTAACCCTGATGGACAGTTTAAAATGTTAGCTGAGCCACAGCACTCTGCTCTTCCACAGTCCCTCACTGCTGCTGTAACTCCTGGCCACTTTAGGCCAGAGCCTGAAACTGCTCTAAAACACTGCCAGGGTATCACTGCGCCTCAGAATTAGAACCACCATCCACTCCCCCTTCCCCAGCTCAGCTTGGCTTGTCACAGCACCAGTGCCAAGCAAACTAATTGGAAGGATTCAGCTATGCTTGACAAGAGATTGACAGAAGGTTTAAAGTCCAGTTCCTACAGGAAGAAAAACGTCACGAGGATTCACTGCAATATCCTGTAATGCTGAGTTGAAAGGTGCAAGTTTAAGTGTAACTTAGAACTCACTACCAAGGTGCAGGCCACTGGGTGAAACACATTCACAGCCCTGAGTCACACCAACAGGAGCCTCTTGGGATGATCTTATGCCCATAAGGAAGATAAGGTACTGAACAGGTAACAGAAGGAAATGGAAGAAAAAGAAGAGTAAGATCCTTGAGAAGAAAAGCTGATAACTTTTAAGTTTGGCAGTGAATCAAGGCTGGTCCAAGCAAAAGAGTACACACACAGGTGACAAAAAAAGTTGTGGCTATGCTTGTTTTGAAAAAAACAGAAATACTTGCTCATAGACAACATACATCATTTAACAGTTAAGATACTGTAATACAGTATTAAAGATTCTGTGTGGTACAACAGAGGAATGAGTGTACCAAACACACTTCAATCACATGAGAAACCCCCCGCTGAGTCTTGGTCTAGCAGTGCAAATACTCCCATCTGCTGCTGCACCACACAGCAGCCCTCTGAACACCATCTTCTATTTAAATAATGCAAAACAATTCTGACAAATGGGATTTTCTCCGAGTGTAAGGGCAGAGCAGCACCTTTTAAACACCCTCCATAAAATGAAAATTGCAGCAAATACTAGCTTCAAACATGGCCTTGTGGAGAATACTTCATCAAAATTAACATCTTTCCAGCCTCCTCTGCCAGCTGACTCAGCACACAGCCAGCCAAGCTACAGAAGCTGCATAAAGCACAGAGTGGCTCTGTTAACCACTTCTGTTTACAAAGATCACAAGTGCAGGTAGGCAGCGAGCATATATGCTGAATGCAAATAGGATTCTGCTTTCCTACATGACAGGTCAGCACCATTCAGTGTCAGCTGCCCTGACACAGCTGAACAGCTTTGCTGGCACAGAAGACACTAAACCTTAATAAACTTAGTGCAGGGGACAGGGCACCTAATTGCATCATCACCACCTGGCAAAGTGCCATAGCTTTCTTCTTTCATTGGCAAATAAGTTCTTCAATGCTATTTTGGCAGGTTTAGGCCACAGTTTTAGATGACATCATATTTGTATTCACTGGGATGTGTTACAAACAAGTTCCTAGGAGGCAAAAGTTGTCAACTCCCTTCACACACCTCAGTCCTACTGCCACCCAGCATTACCTTTGGCAGCAGCCAAAAACTTCTTTAAACAAGAAAAGCAATCTACATACATAGCTTCATTTTCCCAACAGGATGGATCATATACCTGTTAAGTATTCCCCTCAAACATATTTTTGTTGTTCAGTGCATATTTCAAAGCACAGCTTTAAGTTATTAACAACAGACAGATCATTTTAATTCCTCTGCCAGGTTTTTTTTTTCCCTTACCTTGTTTGAATCCCATGCTGCTTATGTTCTGAATGGTTTCCAGCACCAGATTAACACGTTCCAATTAAAAGGGGAAAATATTAGACCTTCCTCCTTGAAGTCAGCTAGTTCCTCTACTTAACTGGGCCATTGCAGCTCCTCTTGAACACAGACAAAAGAACAGCTTGGAATGTCAGCAGGCGCCTAAGACTCCTCACACTTTCTGCATTTCTGCCAGTCTGAGCAAGTATCACTCTTTGAATACAATTATGAACTGAAACAGCTTTAACAGCCACTTGGATTGTATTATTAATTTTAGTTTTGCTTTCCTTATCAAACCACTTCACTTTGATATTTTATGCTACGCAGTGTTCCCATGTATTATATTCTTGGCATAGAAATATAGTAGGAATGACCCTGGATGGCTAGTCCCATTCCAGCTATCCCAGGCAAACAGTTTCTGGGAAGGAAATGACATTATCTATTTCCATGTTAAAGCTAATTGTTCCTGCACACATATTTTTATTGGGCTTTTCTTCCAGAAACTCATTCCTAATGGTTAGAAATTGCCTTCTAATTTTCAGAAGAAATTAGCTGTCAGCTGATGGTGGTGTTCATGTGCCAGCATTGTCCATTAGCTTATTAGTTTCTGCTCCCAGTAGTGTTTATGCTGGGCTACTTACAGAAAGCAAACGCATCTTCTCTCGGCTTTGTTCTACCAGCCTAAGCCAACTTCTCAAATGTTTCCTTACAAACAGACTGTACATCTTCCCAAACATCTTCCCTACAAGTTTTTCAATTTCTTTTCCACACAGTGAGAAGAACTGAGATACAGGGAGATTTTAATATTTCCATCTCTACTAGGCATACCTGGAACTGCAATTACTTTTTCCTGACCATATCACCTTGATGGCTCAGTCTGCCTGTGATCAGGCCTAACTGTTCTAGCTTTAGGTTGGCAGACTTTTACTTTACCAAACTCCTATAAGTCCCCAGGCATAAAACCTTACATCCAGCATCCCACCTCATCTGGAGGACTGCAGTCCTCATCAGCACGCAGCCCTTCCAGCACTGTACTCTAACTTTCTCCTGTACCACCCAACTTGCATCATCAGCAAATTCCTTTACTACATCAGCACTGGAAGGAGGAAGGTCTAGAGGAAACATTTAAGCAACATCAGCCACAAGACCTATTCTTGAAAACCTCCATCAATAACTTTCTCTGGACCAGCACTTCCCTTACAGGAGCAGCACCTTAGAAAGCTTCGCAATCAAGGGAGATTTGTATTGGCACATCCTGAAAGTCATGAAAGCAATCACCCTGCTTCAAGTGACTACTACTAGGCAGGTCATTTTTACTGGTTTAGTGATGTGCTAGTGCAATACTTGCAACTATATGCTTCAAATCAATGCACTTGATTACCTACAGCATTTACCACCTCAAAGGCTTTAAGACAAGCATCTGGTGGAGAGAAAAAGAAAAAAAAAAGAGAAAAAAGAGTATGAAGTCCATGTTACTGTATAAATTTCATTCTTTAAGTCCAGTTTTATTTCTGTAGAAGACCAAAATAAGAATTTAATTTCCCAAGTTGCATGAAAAGCAATTTAGAGAACTCCATCAAGAAAGGATTATTAATTTTTCACCAACATTCCAGCTCACCCAATTTTTATTTCTGTTAAACCTCTAAATTAGTTGAATTTTCAGAAAATACTGTAATTATCTCATGAAATATGTTATTGACAACCTAATCAGGTTGAAAATGGAAAGTCCAGCATCACTAGCTTATATTGTCTATGGTAAGAATTATTACACAAGTCACATATTACACAATTTTAAAAAAGTACACCAATGCTAGGGAATTACAATGTCTAAACCCACTCATCTCTGCATCAAGCTCTGCTATTAAGAGACATATCAATAAAGAGCCCAGACATATCTTTGTGATCTCCAGAAGAACCTGCTGATGAACACCTCTTCCTGCTCACTTCAGTTGGAGTTTAAAGGAAATGTGAATAACATGACCTGATTCTATACCTTGTAGGTAGCTGGTGATAAACCTAAAGTGATCATATCTTATATTAATCTTCCTCCTCACCTGTGCCTCCCTATTTTATTCACCTGTTTCCTGTCACAAAGGGAACTGGCATCTCAAAGGCACTTTGGGGCAGGGGTCATTCGTTAGCTGTACGTATTGTACATAACTCAGAACTGGGCCTCCAAACACCTCTGTAGTAAAATGGCTAAGCCAGCAAGTTTATTATAACACAAAAGTGCCTCCACATCTAATGCAGTGAAGGCAAAGGGCTTGCTACCATTACAAAAACCAACAGGTATCATGCAAACACTTTTCCCTACAAATTTCTGTAAACAAAACACACAAGAAAAAATATGTGCTTTCTAAAACCCAAACCAAAAAGTTTGTTCAGATTCAGAGCATTTCTTCAATATCAAAGGGAAAAAAAAGTTGGAGACATGAATGTGATGCAAAGTAGCAAGCAGATAGCTTGAAACTAGAGTTTTTCCCTAACGATGAGCTGAATGTCACTGCAAGTCAGGTCCATGTTCAGAAATGAGAAGCCTGACCCCAAATCCAGAGTTCCAGACGGTCAAAGTGCAGACATAATCCCTTGAGCTCTGTCCATAGGAAACACAGAAGACATCTACAAGCGAGGATTACTTTGATAACTACTCATCTACTGCAAATACATCACTCCAATCAAAAAGAGTAAAAAGTTCCTACATTTAAGCCAGGCTTAATTTATTAAGTAATGAAGTAATATCCTTATATCACCATTATATTTGCCTCCCATTAAAATTAGAGCAATATTTCTACAAACTGGACTTCATAGGTCTTGCGTTTCCTCAAGTACAGTGCTGGGAACAGGAGGCACTGCTCTCAGCTAAACCCAAAAAGTATGGAAGAATACAAAGGCATATGTAGCTGGACAAGATGAATTTACCAGGAATTGTCTCTTTACAAGCTAGGCTTACGCTTTAGCATATGCTGAAGTGTTGCAACAGCATCAGGAGAGGGGTATTTTGTAACAGGTACTGTGATTTTATTGTACAGCAGCACAGGTGGGCTCAGCTTACACCCACCAGCAGAGTCAGCCAGATTTTTATATAAAGCTGCTGTCAGTGGCCGAGAGGACAAAACCAGAGGTGTCACACAAACAGAGGCATGGCAGTTTAATTCAAGAGTAGGAAAAGACAGCTAGACTAGAGAGTATCACCCAATTATTTTAAACCAAGTCAGACTCTGAACTCAGTCCCACCAACCTACCATGTCCCTTCAAGTTCATAAACCCAGAACTGTCCTACTGGATTAAGTGTCCTTACAGACCAACACCCAGTCTGACTGTCAGGAACCAATGTCTGAGAAACATTATGTGTAACAGAACAAACAGGCTTATCTTTGCCCCAGCAAGCCCTTGCATCTCCAAACAAGCAATACCTTCAGACTTGCCATTGTAACCATCACAGTGAAATGCCCCAACAGACATTTTTCTTCCTCTATAAATTTGTGCAGTCTTTCAAACCCAGTTATAGTATTTACAGCAATGCACCACTCCAAAATTTGCATATACATCTGTGGGACTTTACATCCGTTTGTTTTTGCCTGCTGCTCAATAAAAAAAGCATTACAGATATCCAGAGAAATTAGGACAAACAGTACTTTCCCTATTCGCCCTCACTCGCTGTTTTAATTTTGATAAAGTTGTACATCACTTCAGTATAAGGGATACAAATCCATTAGGTGTCTCTGATTATTTTGATGCCCTTCCCCATCTTTTAAATTCTACAATATCCCTATCAAAATGGGTATGGCCATCCTGCCTACATTTCCCCTCAAACCCCAAGATGCTCATGTCTCGGATTCAAACATTGGCTTAATGTTCCCCCCCGAGTTCTCATTTCCTTTTCCAAGAGTTTTTAACCTACCTCTTGCCTTTTTGGCCAGTGCCTGGTAAGGAGACATTCATTTCAGAGACCTACTTGCAATAATTTCAAGATCATTCCAGAGCAGTGACAGCTTGTTTGGAACCACCACCACCTTTGGGAAGTTACAAAAGTTTCCACAATTTGTATTAGTCTGCATTTGTTATGTTATTTCAGCTGCCACATTAATCCCAGTTATGTGACATTGCATCAACTTCCTGCAGTCTGCTTTAGCTTTGCAAAGCCTGAATCGCTCATCTTCAACGCCATTTTTATAGCATTCCCGGCACTCCCAACAGCTTCTATAAACTAGTCTACACAGAAAAAGCTTTAGGAGGGGCAAACAATTAAACTAGCTTCGACCTTTTCTATATAACTGGATCCCAACTTTATTATTTCCCAATTACATAAGGAAGCAGGTCTAATAAGATAGGACCTCTCCCAACAAACTCTGTGTCACTGATATTCCCAGGCCTTCACAGCCAAAACATTAATTACAAGCACACTGACAGAATTGCATGAACAAGTAAAAGTAATGCAATGGTTTTGATAACTTGTACACACAAGTACCTACAGGAAGATTGCTTGATGCGATTAAACTAGTGGTCAGCAAGGCCGTTGCCAATGCTGCAAGCTGAGAAGAGGAGCCCTTCTGGGTACTTCCTGATTTGATTTTAATAGCAGTACAGATGACTGATTTATAGTTAGAAGTAATGCCACTCTCCACGTGGCACTCGGATAAAATGGACAACAAAAGAAAAAACATAATTCCTCAAAGTTATTACAGGAGCTTAAGGGTACAGAAAAAAAGCCACTGACATTTTCCTTTACCTAAGTTTCACAATGACAAACACTGGGTCTCTCACCGTTACAGCATAACAAGCAATGCTCTAAATCCTAAATTCAAATTTACAATACTATATCACAATAAACAACTACTTTTTACAACACTTTGCTTGCTTTTGCAGTAGGATTTTAAAAAATTGGACAGTCAACTTCAAAACATCAGCACTTCTGTACATGTTTCACAGCATGCTTTATAAACCTTTACAGCAGGCCCTTATTTTGCTCTGCAGGGAGCGAAAGCTGAGCGGTTAACTAAAACCTGCAACATTTTAACCCAACTTGCTGCTGTAGGCTGACCGGAGGGGCAGCTCTCCTGGAAGACCAGCTATTCCTGCCCTTCTCTGCTGGGTGCCCGGAGAGACCGCTGGGTGTGAAACAGCGGTTACGTTCACCCCGGCGAAGGGCTCAGAACACAGAAGGCAGCAAGTAACACCACGTTATTAAATTAGCTGCATCATCTACCAACGGGGAGCATCCCACTCATTTACTTTACAGGCTTATTTAAGAGCTGGAAAAGGAAGCAGTCCTTATCGACCCTGGGCATCCTCACTCACGACCTCTGCTCGCCTTCCCAGCAGGCCGGCCCTCGCCTCAGCCCGCTGACGGAGCGGAACCCCCGGACGAGAGGCAGACACGCCGGACCACCCCTACGGAAACCTGCCCGAATCTGACATTCCGGGCTGAGGGCGCTCCGGGGCGGGCACCGACGTCCAGCACACCCCCGGCGATCAGCCTCCAAAAAGATCCCAGGCGGCCTTGGCGATGCCCGCGGAAGCGCAGCTCCCCCCGCCTCGTACCGGGCGAGGCCCACGCGGGGCTGGCCGGGGGGTCCTCCGCCCGCCCCCTCGGCCGCCTTAGGGGAGCGGCACCCGGCCCCCGCCTGTGGGCCCGAGCACCCTCCCCGGGGCGGCGAGCGGCTCCCCGCCCCCCCGCCCCGCCGCGGGGGCGCGCCGCGAGGGGGCCGCCCTCCCCGCCCCCCCCGCCAAGGCCGGGACCCCCTCCGGAAGGTGACCCCTCCGGCTGCCCTGGGGACGAGGCGGCGCGGCCGCTACCTTTGAAGAGATAGTCGTACTCGTCGTCGCGGGTGCCCATGGTGGGGTGAGCCGAGACCGAGGACTGGGAGCGGGAGCCGGACCCCTCCCTGCAGCCGCCGCAGAGCTTCCGCCCTCCGCCCGCCCACGGCCAGGCGCTTCCGGGGCAGCGCGGCGACTGCGGCAAACTGCTTCCGGGACAGAGCAGCCACTCTGCCCACCCCGGCCTTAAAGGGACGGTGCCGCGGGCGGGGCGGAGCGGGACGGGCGGTCCGCAGAGCCTGCGCGGACACGCCCCCGTCGTCCACCTACGGTCACGGTCACGGTCACGGTCACGGTCACGGTCACAGCCGTGGGGATGGGGTGCGGCGGCAGCGCGGGGGGTGCCGGGGAAGGGACTAGTGCCGGCCGAGCGACAACAGGGCAGAGCGGTTCCATGGTGTAATGGTTAGCACTCTGGACTCTGAATCCAGCGATCCGAGTTCAAATCTCGGTGGAACCTGAAGCTTTTTTCTCACCTCTTTTCTTTTTTTTCGACCTTCTCTGCCCAAATTATGGCCAGACACACTCCGCGCTCCCCGGGCTCCTTCACACACGGAGGTGTAACAGCCACACCTCGCTCCTGCTCCTGGCTGGCGGCCCCCGGCCCTATCCCCAGCCACGGGTGTGGGTGTCCGTCTCCTGCCTACACGGGCAGGAGATGGCTTCCACCCCAGAGCTGCCCGCAGCCACGGTGGAGCTTGGGGTGGGTCGGCAGGAAGCGCCCCAGGTCTCACAGAGCTGGGCTGAGAGGGGCGTGCGAAGCCGGCGGACCTCGTGGTGGAGGCGTCGGAGGTGCCAACGAGCTCCTTCGCCTCATGAGGTGCAAAGGGCCCTTGAGCGGGGGCCCCTTCCCACCGCCATGCCACTGCCTACCCCGCTTCTCCCCTCCCGAAAAGCAAGCCCCCTCATCTGCCCCTGTGCTGTGGGAGACCCCAGCTTTGTCATCAGCTTCCCTTGGCGCAGGCTCAAGACCTAAATAGAAGAGGATAAAAATAGCGCTTGTGTCCAGATGATTAAACCAAAGCCCTTAAAACTGCTCTTTTTCCACCAGCTTGCCATTAGCAGCAGTGGTATGTTCGCCATCCCTGCAGTCAGTTGCTGCGCATGGAAAGTAACCCCCGGGCATCAGCAGCAATGCTGTGCATCGGTTACTGTCTGCTGGGATGATAACAAACCATAACGTGATGCTCTGCGTTTAAAAATAAATAGTTCACACTGCTTTGGAGTTTCTGGGCAGGGAAAACAAAGTGCTAATAACAAAGACACGTGACGTGTGGCCACAGCGTGTCACACCAGAGGAGTACGGCGCTGGGCTCTCCACAGACACACGGGTGAGGTCGGAGCATCGGCGTCTGGGCTCACTCCACGTCCTGCCACCAGCCTCCGGCATGCCCTGGCAGATCGTACACCTCCAGCTTCTTGCAGGTGCACAAAACCCGCCGAGCGTTTGGGGCTTTGCATCCCCAGGACCCTGTTTTCTGCATGTTCTGTGGGAATCATTTCATGCACCAGTTCCGGAAGGGTATTGTAAGGCCAGAACCTCGCAGGAGCAGAAGGCACTCCGGTAGTGTAGTGGCAAGGTCTGTAGGAGTCTGCGTCATCTTTGGATTCATCCTTTTCATCTCCACATGAACCCAGAACACCCAAAATCTTGCATCTGAAAATGCTCATCCTGCTCCTTTCACCCTTCTGAATCCTACTGCATTGAGTAGTGCATTAAAATTGGTAACAGATACCTGTATGTGTAGACGCTGGGGTATATTTATAACTCTGTAGTTAAGGTTTACATCTCGCATCCTATTTGCAGTTCTCCATTGAACTTTGTTGTTAAAAAGCTATTAATTTTCACTTGATGTTTCTCAGGCTTGGTTTCATCCTCCAGAATTGGTATTAGTTCTAAAAATATAAAAATAACACAGTTATTCTTCTGTAAGAGCTGTTCTCCTTTTTGTGTTTTGCATTTTGTTTGTGAGCCTGGAAACACCCTTTATTTACATTTTTCATATGCATAAGCACTACTTCCTCCTACACCAAATTGCAGATGTTCTTCATCTGGAACTGGCTTATTCTGCGCAAGACTTCAGGGCACAAAATGAGGACATTGTCTTTTCTGGTTCAGCTAAAAATCACGGTCCCTACATTGCTGTACCGCTATCACTTGTTGAGCTTAAGACATTACAAAGCAGAGGCATTTTTACCAATCATGCATTGTAACATGAAAATTTCTGCATATTGCCACGTATATGAGCAGCAGCAGAGGTTATTTCTAGCTAAGCCTGTTTAAATGCATTTGATCATTTATAATCAGGTTCTTCATGGTGAAAAAATCTGAAACAGCAGAAAGAACTTTGCATCTAAACAAGAATCAACAGACAGCAGGGCATGAGGATAGCATTGGACTAGCAGGGAGCTGCAGAAATTAAAGTCTTATATTCTGTTCAGACCTGGGTTAATTTTGTTCCTGTTCAAGCAAGCCCCAGATGAGAATATACAAACCCTCAGGAAACATAACTGTCAGCGCAGACTGTTTTTTGCTGCTCTGCTCTTTCTTTGTGTCCCCTGCCGGAGCATGCTGCTGTAGTTACAGGATGGCCTGGGACACTTCCCGTGCATATGAAACATGGCCAAAAAGCAGAGGTCAGGCCTGAAATAACAGAGAACTGTGCGCTTTTCGACTGACAGCTTTTAATGTGAGAACAGTCATTCAGCACTGGCATTTCTGCTGCATTAATTGCCATTAGTGTCATCCTTGCGGGAACACTAAATTCATTGCAAACCTTGAATTAGTGCACTCTCGTAATTCTTCAGTTTATACTTAGGCACAACCATTTGCGGAGGCAGCACGTTTCAAGCAACTGGAGCAGAGACAAGGAATGATACTCAGCTGGCCCTTGGATGTTCAATTTAGCGAAGAAAAGAAGCAGAGGTCACACTCATAACTGCGTATTTATGGTTCTGTTCTGGAAATTCATACAGCAGCTGCCAAAAAGGCCCCAGCTTTTGCCTCGGCAGCACCATTAACATGCAGATGTGCGTCAGGTCATCAGGTCATCAGCTCCGAGCTGCTCAGCCCCAGGCACTGTGCATCAGGCTCTCCCCACACCTGATTCTCACTTTATTCTCCCACTTCCCTCCTGCCACCGACTCCTGAAACCCTGAGAGAAATCCTGGCCTAATAAAGGGGAAAATTTGCCACCATCTTTGATGGCTGTAGCATTCCCACAACAAGGTCAAGGTCTCTCTGCAGAACACACCGGTCGTATTTGACATGGAAATAGAAGAATGTGAAACAGGGATGGCCAGTATTTGCTGCTGGTCCCAGCTTTTCTGGCTCTGAAATCCCTGTTCACAGTTTGCAAGGCCCATCACTTTGCAAAGCTCAGGGAAAGATTTGAAATTGGAAATCGCAATAATTCAAAATCGTCCTTGAATGGCGGTTGACCCAAATTCCCATTTCCCAGATGAAAGGAGCCACTGACTTCCCTGGGGCAGAAGGCAGGAAGGACAAAAGCGAAGCCCCAGAACCTACTCTGTTTTGTCAGAAAAGAAATATTTCCTAAGGGGGAAATCCAATCAATACTTTGCAATTTTCTAACAATCCATGAATCATTGCAATTATGCAGAGATAGTTCAAGCTTTCCAATCCGGCTGCTAAATTAGAGAAAAGCATACTCTTAGCACTTACTACCCCCAGTTTGACATGCAACTATAAAATCCATCCATCAAAATAAAAAAAAAACCACTCTCTTTTTAGAACCCTGAACCAAAATAAAGAGCCTATGATGTACGAGGAGTTCTATTTTTCAGGTAATTCTATGCCAGAGGTAGGAGTAATGAAAATGCATGGAGTCGATAGGAATTTTTCTGTAGATACCTCACTTGAATTCCAGCATCTGCTATATTCTTTTTCTAGTTCTACAGCTCTAGGAAAAATGAATATATAAAAGAAGAAATGGACCAAATCAAAATTATTTTCTATATCAGCCTTTTCTTTCCTAACCCTGGAGTTGGAATAAAAAAGGACCTGGATCTGAACAGGGACCTATCCAAAATCAAACCTCATCCTGGTTCTACTGTTCTCTAGGGCTCTCTGCAGCACTGAAGAAAGAGTGGGAAGGGAGCAGCTCTAGAATTAACCATATTCTGGAGACATTTTTTTCACTAGGACAGTATTATGGTAAGCAGAAAGGAAGGAAAGTTTTCAGTATGCTTCGGGAACAGAAATCAAACGCAACAGACTCGATGACATGGTGTTTCTTGTGATGACTGTCAAAATGAAGTCATCAGTTTCCTGCATCCATTTTGGACTCAACACACATCTCATTGTCTGTGTCTGCTGCCTCCAGAGACATATTAGCAAGATAATACTGGCAGCTCCAGGATAATTGCTGGCCAAGATATAATTTCCGAAACATGGCTCAAAATCTTCTCCCTCTTACTACACCCTGCCACAGAGTTTTATTTCCTATCTAGTCAAAATCTGCTTGGTGTTGGTGTCGCTACCAGACAAATACAATGTCAACGACAGCAGTGCAAGCATTATCACATGTCCCATCATCTTCTAATTTGGATTCAAAAGATCAGCCCTGGGAAATGAAGAAGGCAGTTTGATTTCTGTGGCCAATTCATTCAGTGCTGAAACAACCAACGGAGCTGGCTGGCTGTGCTTAGCATGGCAATGCTTGTTGCAAAGCTGTACAATTATCCAGGGAGCCAGGCTGAGACTATAAAACTTTGCTCATTAAGATCATTAGAGAGCTGTCAGATGGAACAACTGGGATGGCTTTGATCTGGCAGAATACCCTTCCTCCTATTCCCAGACCTTGGGAACCACCCAGTTCCCCATAATATTTTTTTTCAAGTCATTCGGGCAATACTCATTGGGTTTTTATAGGGTGCAATAACTTCTTCAGACAAACTGGAGGGTGTAACAGCTATAACAAGATTAATTCATTAAATAGAAACCCTGATATTTCCATGATTTTGCTATAAATATATTCATAGATGGTTTTGCCAAGAAAATGACTGAATGTTGCTCATAATCCCAGAGATATTCCCTATAAATCCACTAGGTGTCCTACTGTTTTCAAGCAATTAGGCTCAAGGTTTGTTT